AAATTGCCTAAAATTCAAAGTAACGGAAAAAAAAAATTTTAATAAAAATAGATACCATAAAATAAAATTCAAAACTTAGCATAAAAAGTAAAAGTAGAAAAAGATAAAATTGGAAAAAGAGTCGCCCATTTTTGTACACAGCTCTGAATTTCTGTACTTAGCTACATAACCATTGTTACAGGCAAAAATCTGATATGTTAACATAACTCTTTGACGACACTGGAACGAAAAAACACGAAAACAGCAGTAATAGTTCATTTAAGCACAAAAAAAACAATTTAAATTAACAGTAAATAACAGGTGATTATATGGTGAGCAAATATTGTTAAGGGCAACAAATTGGAAACATCAGTGAAAGTTTAAAAAAAATTAATACATGGATCTCAAACATATTGTGACGCAACTAAAGCGAGGAAGAAAAAAACGAATAAGGCCAAATAAAACAAAAAAATGTAAAGACAATTACTAAATAAATGTCAATTAAAATGACATAAAAGGAATAATAACATTAAATTGGAATCAAAAGTAAATTCGATTGCATTTTGCAATAAATAAACAATTTGTCGATTAGTAATATCAACATAATTATTAAATTTTGATTGGAAACGTCGTTTAGAAGCACTATGTTTGAGATAATCATACATTAAATTCATTGATCATAAAATATGTGAACCAAAAATACGCTAAACCGAATTAATGTTAACCATACACTCTAATAAAAAATAAAAATTTATAAGATATTGTGATAAAAGGATTGAAGAGAAAAATTGTTCATTAATTAGCAATATAACATTCAAATTGCTGACACAAAACTAAGTGCTTAAAATGAGTAAAATAAATTAAGAATTATTCTCATATTCATGAATATAAGGTTTAACATATAATATAAAGAACATCTTATCTAAGAAGCATCTCATTTACTGATAAAAAATGATCGCAATTAATTAAATAGCAAGTTGAGAATAACAAGTATTGTACATTAAAGTCTCAAAGTTTATTGTGTGAATGATAAGTCTATCTTTTCAAAAAAAGTCTCAGCTTGAAAAGGAAGATAAGAGAAATATCTTTCCCTTTTTTTTTAAGGAAGTGTGGGTGTGGGGGGGATTTTCTTGACACTGTCTTATTGAAGGAGACACACAGGGTTCTGATGGTCACTCTCGGTNTTTCCCTTTTATTAAGGAAGTGTGGGTGTGGGGGGATTTTCTTGACACTGTCTTATTGAAGGTGACACATAGGGTTCTGATGGTCACTCTCGGTAGCAGGTGGCAGAAGTACCATCTTATCTCGTCATTCGATCCTTTTCTCCACAGGACTCTCCCTTCAACCTTGGACATAGTGGGGAAGGATTCCCCTTCTGCAGGTGTTTTCCCCAATTAACGAAATTGATGAAACAGGAATCGACCAGGGGTTTTACAACATCCTGTCGTGGAAGAGGCCATAAAAATCTGTCTAAGCACTCCAGAGAAAGTGGTGAAATTCATGCAGTGTGGGAATTTAAATGTACAGTGATTTTTCTTTCACCCCTTGACCTTATCGTAAGGGACAGTGTCCTTGAACACTTAGATAAGTGTTGAGTTCAACAAAACGGGACTTGAAAGTGGGGGTTCAAAAGTTATTCATTAGAGGGGAGATTCTTCTTCTTGAAATTCTCAGAGCATGGAATGATGAGGAATAAAATAGGAAATTGTCCATTTTCACACAAATATGCTTAATAAGAAAACCTTTGTATCAAGATCAGTAATTGCGATAAAGTGATAAATTATAAAAATACATTCATTAAATTATTGCAATTTATGCAAAATATAAAAATATTGATTGTGATCAAACAAACAAAAAAATTATGAAATATCAAGTACCTTAAATTCTGTACAACATAAAATTGAAGATAAGAAATTGATTTGAAAGTAGATTAACTAAATTGTTTAAGAGACAGAGTGTATGGTTAAGTACATTAAATATTATTCATAGCCATCACATTTACAAAGAATTCGCAAAATTCATGATAAACACAGTTTATAATATAAAGAACATCTTATCTAAGAAGCATCTCATTTACTGATAAAAAATTATCGCAATTAATTAAATTGCCAGTTGAGAATAACAAGTATTGTACATTGAAGACTCAAAGTTTATTGTGTGATTGATAAGTCTATTTTTTTAAAAAAAAAAGTCTCAGCTTGAAAAAGGCAGATAAGAGAAATATCTTTTCCTTTTTTTTTTTTTTGTTGAGGAAGTTGGGGGGAGGGGGATTTTCTTGACACTGTTTTATTGAGGGTGACACACAGGGTTCTGATGGTCATTCCCGGGTGCAGTTGGCTCCATAAAAGCACAATCTTATCTCGTCATTCGATCCTTTTCTCCACAGGACTCTCCCTTCAACCTTGGGCATGTGAGGAAGGCTTTCCCTTCTGCAGGTGTTTTCCCCAATTAACGGAATTCCCATGAAGTTGAAACAGGAATCGACTAGGATCTTTGCAACATCCTGTCAAAGATGCAATAAAAATCCGTCTATGCACTCCAGAGCAAGTGGTGAAATTCATGCTGTGTGGGAATTTAAATGGACAGTGATTTCTCTTTCACCCCATGACCTTATCGTAAGGGACAGTGTCCTTGAACACTTAGATAAGTGTTGAGTTCAACAAAACGGGACTTGAAAGTGGGGGTTCAAAAGTTATTCATTAGAGGGGAGATTCTTCTTCTTGAAATTCTCAGAGCATGGAATGATGAGGAATAAAATAGGAAATTGTCCATTTTCACACAAATATGCTTAATAAGAAAACCNCAGGACATATTTTATCCCAATTATATTAATAAAGTAATCCCAAATAAATTTTTGAGGCATCTGTATTACCAGACACGATTCAGGAAAATCACTATCCCAAATATTTTTTTTTTTTTTTGTAATAATTCAAATAAACACTAAATTATCAGACACACCATTAGGGAAATGGTAACAAAACCAATCAAATAAGCCTGCCAAATCTTATATCAAAACATAAATTCACAAAAAATGATAACATTAAATAATAAAAATTGGGAAAGACGAAAAAAAATCTTTTTTTTGTTTATGAAAAAAAATAAGAAAATTGACTAAAAGAATAGTTTAGCCAGTAGATAGCAGAACCAAAATAACCTAATCACGAAATTATTTAATTCTCAATATACATAAGATCACGTATAAATACAATTATGGCAAGTATTTTTATTTATAATTATATCTTTTTTTTTTTTCTTTTTTTTTTAAAAAACAAATTAANCAGAGAAAGTAAGTAGTAAAATTCATGCTGTGTGCGATTTCAACTGGACAGCGCTTTCTCCTTCACCCCATGACCTTAGATAAGAGACCACGTCCTAGAACATACATCCATGAGACAAAAACGGTAGTTGAAAATGAGGGTTCAAAAGTTATTCATTAGAGGGGAGATTCTTCTTCTTGAAATTCTCAGAGCATGGAATGATGAGGAATAAAATAGGAAATTGTCCATTTTCACACAAATATGCTTCATAAGAAAACCTTTGTTTCATGATCAGGAATTGTGATAAAATAAAATATCAGTACAATTACAAATTTGAGATATTTGAAGAAATATCTATTTGATAAATAGCACTTAAGATATACACTATAAACACAAAATTATTGCAATTTGTGTTAAAACTATATTATTGAGCATAATCGAACGAATGAAGAAAAATATAAAATGTCCAGTCACTTAAATTCAATACAACGTAAGATTAAATAAAAAAAATTAGAAATTGATTTGAAAGTATACTAAAAAAATTAAAAATAAAGACCGAGTGTATGGTTACGTACATCAAATATTATTTATAGCAATCACATTTACAAAGAATTCGCATTTAACCAAAGTTAAACATCAGGAAGAACCGCTTAAAAAAAATATCATTCCCGAAAATCGTTGAGCTCAGGTATTACCCAGAGCAATCAGGACATATTTTATCCCAATTATATTAATAAAGTAATCCCAAATAAATTTTTGAGGCATCTGTATTACCAGACACGATTCAGGAAAATCACTATCCCAAATATATATATATTTTTTTTGTAATAATTCAAATAAACACTAAATTATCAGATACACCATTAGGAAAAAGGNTTCAAATAAACACTAAATTATCAGATACACCATTAGGGAAAAGGAAACGAAACCAATCAAATAAGCCTGCCAAATCTTATATCAAAACATTGATTCACAGATAATTGAGAAATAATAATAAAAAATTGCAAGAAAAAAACTAAGAAAAATTGACCAAAAGAAGAGTTTAGCCAGTAGATAGTAGAACCAAAATAACCTAAACATGAAATTATTTAATTCTTAATATACATAAGATCACGTATAAATACAATTATGGTAAGTATATTTATTTATAATTATTTCTTTTTTTTTTNTAATTATTTCTTTTTTTATTATTATTCATAAATATAAAGCAAATTAACGTTTATGTAGGAAAACAATTAGAATAGTTTGAAAAAAAAAACTTTGAACCATTTCAAAAAAAGATCCAAATGATGGGTAAAGTAGCAATTTTGAAAACTTACTGAAGACGTCTCTTCAGTTTTATATGACCAGCATACAACAAAATTTTAAAAAAATTGGGACTTAGTCCATCAATATAGAAACCTTGATTAATTTAGTTCAAAATTAAATATATTTCATGTAGAATAATAGAACAAAATACACAACTTATTAGATTGTGTAAAAAATTAAAATCAAAGCACCTTGTTTTGTAAAATTAGCACTATTAAATAATATACATTACAGTTAATAGGAGCTAAAATATATATAAATACAATTAGTTCAAAATTAAATATATTTAATGTAAAATAATAGAACAAAATACATAACTTATTAGATTGTGCAAAAAAAGATTATAGCCAAAGCACCTTGTTTTGTAAAATTAGCACTATTAAATAATATACATTACAGTTGATAGGAGCTAAAATATATATTTTTTTTATGTATACCTATTTTTTTTTNGAGCTAAAATATATATAAATACAAAATAAATCACCTTTGTAATATTATATTAATATGCCTATTTAAATAGTTAGATACACAGTTAGATATAGTTCAATAAACAATTTGAGAATATTTTATGACATTCTTATAAATATATATATCAATTTTATCACTACCAAATCAAAGAGCAAAACACATAGAGAAAAATTCAAATAAGAACAAACGTATTGTTTCATTTAATTCATTACACCATAATAAAACCTAGGACCTCACAACAAAAATATACGGCACCATTTGTAAGAGTTAAATAGTATTAATATTTTGGTGCGTATAAAGTAAAGTAACGTTGTTTATGTATGTTTATTAATAGATTGCAATATTTGGTATATGTACTAATAATTGGACATAGTCATGATTAAAAATAGTTAGATGATTGATATAATAATTAAATTAAGGCCGAAATATATGAAAGGTAATTAAAATAAATTAAGGGGGAATGTGATCGTTAAGGAAAGTGGTAGTACAATGCTAATGTGGGATAACAATAACCCAATAGGTTCAAAGGGTCACAAAGTGTGAGGTTTGAA